TTCATGCTATACGTACAACCAAAAAAAGATTTTGTATTTCCATAAGTGGGGTAAAACTATGGAATAATTTAAGTGTGGACATAAAAAACAGTAAGAAAATTGATGAGTTTAAACATAAATATAAAGGTATGTGTCAATCAAGATATGGGCAAGAACAGGCTTAATGATTAATCAGATGGGAAGTAGAATATGTATCCATGTAGTAATACTGCTTGCAAACCAATGATGATAAGATGATGTTAGGGGGTAGGACTAGATAAGTCTAACTTCTTCCTACTCTGTTCAAGCATGTACTAGGTATAAGCAAATTGAAAATATATTTGTGGATATGTCTGGAATTATGTGTGGTTACATACTGACTGTTGTTACATGTTTGAAAGAATAAATAAATCAAATCAAATTTGACCACCATAGACCACCAAGACCACCAGCCTTTTTTTAAATAGGAAATTTGGGATGATATTCCACATGCTATCTGGGTTTTTTTAGAAATCTTTAGATCCAGTAGATTTTTATAATATGGTTAAATGAAGAAAAATCTAGAACACTGAGCCTTCCTCCTGTAAGAGGTAAACACATAATTTCCTTTTTAACCTTGTGTGGTTTATTTTTCCAAATGAAATCAAAAAAGTCTTTCTAAGCAAGATGTCTTCTGTTTGGTGACATTAATTGAGGAAAAAAGATATGAGGCTCTTGACAGGCCCTCTGCTTTTCTGAGTAGGACTCTAATGTCTAAAGATACATCTCTAAATGCTTTAGTGACATTACTCTGTCCATGATGTGTACTTTATAGCGCATGTCACCTCATTTTGACAGAGGTAAATTTGTTAATAGTTAACTTAAATCCAGTTCCTCCTCTGCATCATCTGGCGAGGTGCTGCTGTTTTTCTCACCATCATCAAGAAGCTTGTTTTTCTCTGCAGGTTGATCAGATTTGCCATCAGTCTCTGATTGGTCAACTACCTCTTTCGTTAGAGCAGAGGCAAACACATCAGCCTGAAGAGCAGGTTCGTCCTCCACTTCCTGATAATAAGCAAGCTTTTTCCTCTTGAAGCAGCCCAGCTTGTGATAGACACAAGAAAAATCATTAGCCCAAATGCCAAGCCCATCAATGAAATATTTTTAATTCAGTTACTGACATTCAATCAACTTCTCTGAATATAAAGATGGAACTTTGTCTTTATGGGGTAGGATTGTGGTTTAGAATGAACCTCTCCAATCTGTAAATCTGCTCTCACCTTAATCATGATGACTGTGATTATGATCAGCAGCAACAGTCCTATACCGGCTCCGGTTAAAATGATCAGCAATTCATCCGCAGGAATTATGAACTCAACCCGAACTTCAACCTTTTGGCAGAGAACATACAAGTTTTCAAAGTGGGATCTAACATTAATGAATGAAGTTAAATATGTCATAGTCGTTGCTGTTCATGTGTAAACTGAATGTACCCATTTCACTGTTGGATCGCTGTCTTTCCCCAGGGCAGTTTCATGAGACCTCTTTGTAAAACCACCTTTATTCTGTGGTTAATAAATATGAAAAATTAGGAATGCTGAAAACTATTAAAACCAATGTCTTTCAAATTGCTGTGGTCAAACTTCAACATACCACTTGTTTATGAGAATCCAGCATGTATCGTGTCTTGTTATAGCTAACATGTATAAAACTCTTAAATTTAACCTCTGTGCTGTCTCCGGTGTATCGTTTCAGAAAGGCAATATTCTGCAAAGTAAGTGAATGACATTTAATAAGATATTCACCACTTTCCATGGTGTATTGTATGCTGTGTGTACTTTGTGTGTTGTTGCTACATACCGCTGCATGTTCCTTGTGATCCTTAAACTGTACCTTTCCTGACAGTACAACCACAGTGGATGACTCTTTGTCCAGGATGAACGTGTCACATGTTATGACTTTGCAGTCATTTTCTCCTGAGCAGTACTGTAACACAGCAATTGCTCATTTTAAGAGATTTGTAATTTCATGGCATGCTCATATAGAATATTTTGATACTAATTATGTTTTACTTACTTCTGATTTGATGTCACTGCGGTTGCACTGAATCTCGCTCTTAAAAGAAAATGGTAATTAGTAAGAATTAAGCGCATGTAATATTATACAGGGCAGCAGTATAAATAAGTAGTGTTGCGGCAGACACCAGATTACCTGCTGGATAAAGACTTGATTGATTTCAAAGTTATGTTCCATTTTAGTTGGGAAGGACAGGGACACGCTGACAGGAAAAGCCTTGAAACCAGGATTAGCTATCTGTGAATGATGAAAGACAGTTGGTCCAGTTTAAAAGTTTAGTTCTCTTAATTAGTGCTAATGTTGCTTTGTGTTTGCCGAATATGTAAACAAGCAACTATTAGCTAGCTCAGGGGTTTTCGACTAATTAACCCAGGGACTACCATTGTACCTAAGAAGCAGTCTGAAGACAACGGGTGTATAGTGGAGAGACTGGATTGGCACCATTTTAATCCTGAAATTCACTTTGTCTTTTTTCAACTTATATTTGCATGAATGTGGTTATTCACCGTCAATAATTAAAACATGGAAATGTAAAAATAATAATAATAATAATAATAATAAATACAAAATGTGATTCCCACAGTGAAACTACACTACTGCATGAATGGGCAGGGATCACCTGCAATTCCTCCACAAACCACCAGGGGATGTCGAACCACTGCTTGAAAACCTTTGAGCTAGCTTATTCACCTTATCAACTGTATAAGGTCATCATTTATCTTCTGTTACCTACTTTTAGTTGAAAGCAGCTAAAGCCTGCTCACAAAGTGACTAGTTGCTAATTTGGCAGCACTTTATGTGTCAGTGTTGTTTTGAGTTGTGTCAGCAGCCGCCCCACATGTAGCCCAAAAACCAAACCAAAAAAAAATCAACATGTGTCAGTGTTGTTTTGAGTTGTGTCAGCAGCCGCCACACATGTAGCCAAAAAACCAAACCAAAAAAAAGTCACCAAATGCAGCTTTAAAATTGCAACATAATGCCTACATCAGTGGTCATCAGCTCTGTTGTAAAAAATTAGCTGTGGGACGTTCATTAGCTCACATTATATATAATCTTCACTTCTTTAGGTGCCGTATCTTCTGTTGTGAAGTTCAGATAGGTGATGGTGTCTTTTCTCCTGTATAGAACAGAACATGATCACAATATGCAGGTAGCTGTGGGACAATACAACTACTGACTGGATAAAAACTAATAATAATATAAATATTGAATAACTTAAATATTAAAAAATACTGGCCAGGTCTAAGAACTACAGTTGCAGAATGCTATCTGCTGTGTGAATAGTGCCACTTACACTGTTATTGCCATTTTAATTTCAAATTGTACTGGGATGCTTTTCGTCAAGGAATTGGTCCTGGTGGAGTTTGTGTTATCACTGAGGATGCAAAAATTATTTAGTGGGAATACTGGAAATGAAATTTGTAATGATAGTCAGTATTTTAATAATACAGAGGAAATGTTTGGCTATGTTCTGTGTGTTGGATTGTATGAGAAGGACTCTACCTTTTTCCAGTAATCGTCATGGAGATTGTGTCATCCCATTCATAATCATTCATGATGTAGAAAGAAGTTTTAAATGTTGCCTTCACAGAAAAAAGACAGTGTTAGATGTGATTAAAAGTGAAAGAGAAAATGTTCAAATGAGAGAATTTTCCAAAGTTGCAAATGTCAAGGTTTCAGACAGTTGGTCACAGTTAACAACATTTGAAACATCACTTCTTTTTTACAAGCGTGCAGTATGACTCACAGTCGATCCGCTGCGGTACACCGGTAGGCTGACACCACATATAGTTTTGTTGAGCACTCCATGTAGATCACCACAGTTGTGGAGTGTCGGTTTTGTCGCCTGTTTAAACAAAAACATGCACACACCAGTATGAGTTGAGAACCTGTAGAAGAAAAGCTTTTAGTTTAAATTCAGTGCTGTGATGTGATGTGCATGACCCTGACCGTACTTCAGTGTACTGTAGGTACATTTAATTTCCAGGCAAGTTTAAAGAGAGTGGTTTCAACTAGCATTAGCTCTAGTTAATTGTTAGTTCTCAGAGTTTGATGTTTTAATTAGAAGCGCACGTCTCTGACAACCCACTCAGGATGTAGATGAGTTTTTTTGCAGTGGCATGATTGCAGCTGGTTAAACCTGAGGGTTGTGACAAATTATTTAATAACTGTCAGTTAGTTAAAACATATGCTACAAATGATTTGGAACAAAATTCATAGTTAAGGGTGTGACTTTTAATAAACTGGGAGAAAGCCACAGAATATATTAAGTCTCATCAGTTTACTTGCAGCCATTAAAACCAGCATTCTGAGATGTGCTGGTGTATGCAAGGAATTGCAGTCAGCATGTAAATACGTTTGGGTTTTGTTTTTGTTTTTTTGATAGGTAGTTCAACATAGACAGAAGAATCATGTCAGGGGTTTTATTCAGGTATTCCCTGACAGAATACGCTGGACAAAACACAGATAAGTCCATCATGTGTAGTCACAGTTAAAGGAACTGGGTTTAAGTTGGTCTCCCCCTGCTGTCATCATGCCACAATAGTAGCAAGTGGTTAGACTGGGCCCAAGAAAGGGTGCATGTGGTCAGCAACAATACTCAAGTAGGTTTTAGCCATTAAGCAGTGCATATAGTGTAGTTAACATAATGCGCACATCAGTCTGGCAACATGATTCCCCCCCCCAGCACTCCACAACACCTGTGAACAGACTGATGTATAAAACTGTGGAGTGCCCCTTTACAGTTGTATACAGTGTCCAGAGAATTTGTTGATGTAGAGACATAATAAAGAATTAAAAAATTTGAAGTCACTTTAGTAAGAGTCATCATAGAGAAGGAGAGGCCTGGGGGATAGTCCATTGTAAGACTGGTGTTGTACGAGTCATCACCATGGTTGACCAGTTTTACAGACACGTTGAAGTAATTATCTTCTGCCACCAGTAATGTTGGGGTCCTAAGAGAAACACAGCCCTTCTTAAATTTAGTCATTTCAGTCAGTATTACAGTAGCTGTGCTGTGTTTGTCAGATATACATACATGAAGCTGAAATCCACCTCAAGTTCAGCAATACAGGTGTCATTTTGTCTACAGTGCTTTTCAAAGGGAACCTACAAGGAAAGAACTGCAGTTTATTTCCAAAATCAATCAAACTACAGGCACAAACAACGCATGGCTCCTTTGGAACATGTCTTTTTCGTTATGTAAAAATGTTTTACAAATGAAGTCGGGCACATGTCAACAGAAAATGGGTTAGCATGCAAAGTCATGCAATCTCCTTTTTTTAACCACGTACATTCTTCTGTAGTCACTGTACATACCTCAACAACAGCCTGCCGCTTGCTGTCCACATTCAGGACAGCACTCGCTTTCTCACTGTCAGCTTGAGAAAAGTTTAATTTGATGGTGATGGGTGATAATGTGTCCTTCACACATTTCTGCAAAAGAAGAGAAATTGTCTGCATAGTGTTGAAAAATAATCGTCAAACAGCACAGAATAATTGTTATTTGGTTTCAAAACTGTATAATAAAGGTGGAAAGATAAGTGAAACATGATTAAAGGTACACAAAACACATTCTTGCCACAAGACTGTAGCGCGCTGCACCACTGGGTTGCACCTTGAGTCAGGGAGATACAAATCTAGAGCTCCAGTGCAGTGGAGGAAATACAGTAACTTTAGTGTGCCCCAGAAAAATGTCGGTTTGCAGATGCAACACTGAAAAGTGCTATGTGCTGACATGAACAGAGCCCTTCACTTAACAAATTCTCCAATATAAAGAACCAAAGAGATTCTTCTTCCCCACCCTCTGATATGACACATACTATAGGAGCCTGCTCTCAAACAGTGGCCCTAGTGACCAGCGTACCTTTGTTACAATAATAAACATGTGGCTAAGGTTATGGAATGTTCATGGGTTTGTCTAGGTTTATGGACACACACACAAACTGCTGTGTTTTCATTCCTTGTGGGGAGTTTACATTGACTTACATTCATTTCCTGTAGACTGACCCTAACCTTAACCATAACCACTACTTGCCTAGCCTCAATATTTACCTAACCCTAACCTCATCCTAACCCTAAACCATGTTACCACCCTAAAATTCAGTAATTTCATTGTGGGGAAAGCACTTTGTTAATGAATAAGATCAAAGTTTGATTTGAATGCTAAGAAGAAGTCAAGTAAATTGTAAAGCAGAACAGCTCTGAATGTGAAGAAGTCTGTAGCATAAAGCCAAAGCAAACATTCTGGACTACGGCCCACAGCTGTCAGTCATCTTAACTGACAAAGGTCTAACAGGATGGGTGACATGCTTTATGAAACCACCTTTCACTAAAAGTGTGTTTTGTAGGTTAAAAAATCTAGCAGATAACTAGCTGAAGTATGGAGACATGAATAATACTCTAGATATACAGGTAGGTGATAGGCTGCTAATGAAGCCTAGAAGTTAATGAAGCTTTATACTGGCATGTAGATGGAGTAGAGGAAGCAGGTGTGGTTATTCTTCAGCTCGTAGATAGTTGTGTTACTTCTAGCTTTTCTATCATGTTGACTGAAGAAACCTCGATATGTTTGTCTCACTGGATCCACATCAAGCATGCAGGAGATGTTTAGTCCGGAGCTCTCTGCCAACGCAAAGACATACAGCAGGATTCAGATACCTCACTGGCAGGGTGTACTTTTATTAACAGCTGTTAATGAATCACGTGATTGGCTCTGGCCCCTACCTCCTTTGCTCCGTGTTGCTTCTACCATATCAAAACAGGCTGTTAAGTCAACCATAAGTAAATTTTCATCGGAGTTGTCCACACAGTCCAATTTCTCTGTGCTTATCTCCTTAGGTTGGAAAAATAGATCTGCCGTGACATTAAAGACTGGCCTGGACCTGAAAGACATTCATCAAATGATTAAAAAGGGGATTATTAGACTTTGCTCCTGATCTTTTCTACAAGATGCTGCTACACTCATGCATAAAGGAGGGGTCAACACCAGTCCATGATTTCACCTCCCTCACTGTGCTCTGGCAAAGCCACAGACTAATTTGTTTCAGCAGAAGCCACTTTAAGCAGGTTGTGTAAGATGAATGCTAGTTCTTGCCTTCAGCCAGACATCAGTCTTTACATGTGACCGGCTGAAAACGTTGCTCGGTAGGATGTCACTGGTGTTTATCTTCAAACTGTAAAAATATGGCAGTTGCCTGGAAATATCACATTTCACCTGACATTTTGAAAAAAGTTTGGGGGAAGATGCTGTTGCCATTTTTCATATTTGTGAAGTTCTGGAGTTTCAGAGGTCATCTCAAATAGACAGTACATGACACAGCATGATGAGTTGACTCACCATGTTGTCTAACCCAGCCATAACATGCAGTGTGGTACATGCTGAACCATAATGTAGCATATACGGCATCCAATACCTTAAGACAACAGCTGCGCCCTTTGATCCAATCACAATATCTGGGAGACCGTCTTCTCCAAGGTCAATGTTCCCATCAATGGCCTGTCCAAAGAATCTCATCCCAGGTTCAATTTTCTGTCCCATGAGTCTCTGGAATAACAGATCTGACAACTGAAACAGTGCATGATTTGCACACATACAGTATTTACAGTTACTCATGTTTAGTTATTTCAGTTAATGCTCATTGCGAGAAAGATAAAGGAAGAAGTTAAGTAAAGACCTAAATAAGTCATGTTATTCAGCATGACTCTTAATTGTGTGTTGTTGCTACATACCGCTGCATGCTGCAATATGTAACATGGCTCTTATTTATTTATTTCAAAATTCAATACTCAAAAGCTAGTTTTAGTCTGATGTACAAGTAATTAAAAATGTATCTAATCACTTTGATGTTGATGCACAGTTATTTTTCTAAACTAATAATGGGGCATTATTGTGTTTATTAGACAGGGAAAGACCATGTACGCTATGTGTAGCTTAACAACATCGTGTTCTTCCTCCAGCTAGAGAAAATTAAGTTTACTCTTAGAGGGTCAACATGTTTCACAGGAGGTAGCAGCCTTTTTCTTTAATAGCGTACTTTCAGTCTATCTACACTCCCTCCAGCTCATGGGCCACTTTTACTATGGATGCATGTGAGTGTGTATGTCATGTGTGTTTGTGTGTACATATGTAAATACATACAGTACATACATATATTGTATGTGTGTACTTTTTTTTTTATTTACTGTATTTAATTATTTAATTTATTTGTTTGTGGAATGGGTGTAGGTTTGTTGGCTCCCATAGCTTAGGCAGGTGGATGGGTTAAGGGAGGGGGGGTGTACTTTTTAAGCTTTGCTGAAAATGTGTTGGCTGTTATGTGCACTGATTCACTTGTTTGCCTGTTAAAAGTTTCTATATACTGTACATTCACCAATAAAGCATTTACTAATGAATTAGAGAGGGACAGTAGAGACATAACATAAAGTGAGGGGGAAGGAGCAAAGCAGCAAAGATCCCAGATGATAGTATTGACCTGAGAGTGTTGCTGTTCATGGTCAACATTATTTGTATAGCTTAATCCATTGGCCTGCCTCGATACACTATTGATTAATGTGGAAATCAGTTTTTTGCCAGCATGGTGACCATATGACAAAGATATATATCAGGTTTTCTCTGACCTGGCTGAACGTGCTGCGTACCCCCCTACGTCTGTCACCGAGGTAGATGTACACAGCACCTCTGTTATCATCTTCAAGAGGGGCTCCAACAGCAACGTCTCGAAGTCCATCTCCATTCAGATCTGCAAGACTGGATATGGTGGTGCCAAATCTACTCATGGAGGGTGCCGTCACATTCAGTTCACTTTTCAGTTGCATCTGTGGGAAACAAAAACATTCATGCATTTGGTTTTCTCTCAGTACCCTCATGAAAGCATAAGTAGCAGCACACTGAATCTGAGCCATTATGCCAGCCCCTACCTCATCAGTCAGTGTGTAGATGTACATCCGGCCTTCTCTTTTTTCCTGAGCGTGGTAAAACTGTGGCGCTCCCACAATCAGAAAATCGGTGTTACCGTTGGAGTCGATGTCTACTGAGCACAGCTCTGCACCAAAGTAGGAACCAATCTGAAAATGGACAAAAGATGATTTATGTCATTTAATAGGAAAAGACTATAAAATCAAGGTTTATTATTTGAACAACTCACACTTCTTCTAACAGTTAAACTAGATGTCAGTGCAAGGAAGTTCTCTGGTTTCCTGTATGTAACCACTATCTTCACATTTTTAAAAAAAAGTGCAACGTGTTGCATTTTACATGTTTAGTTGCAGAATAAATGTAGAGCAAATACAGGAAAAAAAAAGTGAGTGACTTTGTAAGACCTTAATGCAGATGTAAATATGACGAGTTTTTAAGTTTTCCTGAGCAAAGTTGTTTCAAAGGCAAAAGGAAACTTCCCTCTTGAACAAGGTCTGTTCTTCAAGTACAAACTAGATTAATAAATGTCCTAAAAACAATTGACACCAACCTTAAAAACTCTAAACATAGCACATTTATTCCTGTTTAGAATATATGATAAATCAGATTTAAAAAAAAAAACTTTATTAAGACAGTTACCCACCTGTTCCCCATTTATTCTTTGGACTGGAGTCCATTTCGTGCCATTATGTCTGAAAAGTATGACCTGACCTGTGTGGTTAAGTCTTGGCGCACCCGTGAAATACAGGGCAGTGTTAGTCTTGTGTCCAACAGAAACAGAGTATCCTGCAACAGTTTCAGTCACATATGAGATAATCTGTTCACTCACAACAGAGAGATTACATATTTAGTACATACACACAGTTTATGGTCCCATATGCATCTGTCTGATACTTCTATGACACAATTTTTTTTAACCCAGCATTTAGACTGGAAACTTAGCAAGGTAATTTAATGATGCCCATCTCAAGCCAAATACAAAATCCTTTTAATAAAGGAGCAGGAGGAAATAGGGTTACCCATGTAGGAGTCCACCTCCATATCTGGATCTTCAATTTGTGATTCTTTATCTCCATGAAGCTCTTGAAGAGATCCACGCCAGCGGTTTGATCCCACTGAACCCAGGATCAAGGTATCCTTGTTGTCAGAAATATGTGATGTGGTCAGATACAGTTTTATTGGCAGTTAACAGATCACATGCTCAGTTTGAGTTGCTGCAGTCAGACTACTGTGGTTGAGGCTGGTTGATCCCATGAGGAACAGAGACCAAATAACAGTTACAGAGATCGTCTTCCGTGAGCTTTCAGAATTGAGGCTTGGTGAGTGTTTTAACCACGTTCTGTCATTTTATAACACTCACCCAAATTCTGAAGGTATGTCCTGAATCCTCATACACTCTTCTAACAATGCGGAATCAAAAATAGTTTGGTCCAGTCCAGGAAAATATCATTTTAATCAGTTTCTTGTGTCATGCAGTTTCTTTTCAGTTAAGTAAGTATGGTGACAGGAAATTATGTTTTAACTAACTAATTAATTAATTGGTAGTTGAGTATGAATGTATTATTGAAGCCTATTATATTACAAACCCCATTTCCAGAAAAGTTGGGACATTTTCCAAAATGCAATAAAAACTGAAATCTGTGATTTGCTCCAACCTGTATTTAACTGTCAAAAGTACAAAGAAAAGGTTTTCATTATTTTCACTGACCAGTTTAATTGCATTTTGTATATATAAACAATTTTAGAATTTGATGCCTGCAACACACACAAAAAAAGTTGGGACATTCGCTTGTTTGCCACTATGTTACATCACCTTTCCTTTTATCATTTGTTTCTAAATTCTTAAAAGCCCCCAGCAATCAGAGTGAGTTTTCTTAATTTCCACAAAAGTTGTTTTTGTTTATATTTGGCTTTGTTAAACGATTATTACTGTTATTATCAGTATCATCCTGGATTTACCTGATTAATGGTTGTATTTTTTTTAAAAACACTCACTTTGTAGACGACAGCACTGAATCCACTCTGAGACATTTCAGTAGTCATGTCTCCTGCACGAGCCACTTTAGAGCCTAAATGAGACAAAACTAGTTCCTGTTACCATTGGAGAGGCACACCAGGAAGATCACATGGGTGTTTCAAATATTATTGCACAAAGAGGAAAAACAATTCATCACCTTCAATTGAAAAGATCTTTTTCTGAAAGTTTTCCAGTATTCCTGTGAGGCCGTCATAATTCTCAATTTTGAAGGCATATTTGTCTGTTGGTTTTGAAGCTATGTCTGTAAATTTGTCCAGGTTTGCAACGTTGACCTGAAATCCAAATGCTGCTGACAGTTATTATTTACTTATTACTTTATTTTATGCATTTTTAAATTTGACATTTTTTAAGCTGAGCTTGGCCATAATTGTTACAATGTTAGTCAGAGATAAATATATTACCATGATAGTAAGAACAGGTCTAAACTACTGGATTTCTTTTTAGAAGTATGATGTTGTATCATCAGTGTAGCAGTGAACTATACAATACAATTAAAATAATTGATTCCTCAACTATACCACATCTAACTGTTTTAGCTGAAGTAATAATTTAAGCTCTAATGTTTATCTATTAGACAAATATCATCATCACAGCTTCACACATTCATCACAGCTTACCCCAATAACAAAACGAATGATGTTTTTTGCTTGATATTTTTCAATTATATTTCCTTTGTTCGAATCACTGGGATTTCCATCAGTGATTATTACCACAACCTTAGTTGCATCAGAAGAGGTGCCTGTGTTTGGGTCTTCAAAGATCTTTTCCCTGAAACAGATGTAAAAGTAGTGTTTGTTATACTGACAATAAGCAAAACTCCATCAATAAATATTAACAAATGAACATTTTGTACTTCAACAAATAAGATGCTCATAATCATACTGAGCTACTGTGTCAGTTCTCGTTACTGAGTGGTTTCCCCTCAGCAACAACTGTTATTTTATTGTTATTCAGTTGTTGAAGAGTTTGAGAGTTTGTTTGTATAATGTAACTGAACTTACAACACATATTTGAGGGCTTTATGTGTGTTGGTGAGACCCCTCATGTGTTTTTCGCTCTGAAGTTTATTAAGAGCACGACCAGCTTGATAGTCACTGAAGTCAAAAACTTTTCTGTGATTTGTGGAGAACTGGACTGCTGCAAACTGAAGAGACAGAAGAGATCATACAATCTTTATTAAATATTTTGTGCATATGTTCATTTGTCAGTTTATCATATACTCCAAGCTAAAACTATTGCTGTGGTATTATTTAGCTTAGCCTCACCAATAGACATGGTTGGAAAACATAACAGGAACATCTCTCTGTGTAATACAATTCAGTTCAACAGAAGCACAAAAGTGATCAGACACCTCTATAAAACAGTTGTGATTGCCTTCATGAAGGAAAATCTGCTGGATTAGGCTGCATTACTGTTAATGAGGTGTACCTAATAATCTAACATACTGTATGTATATTTCAACAAATAAACACTATGAATGCTTTAATGTTGCAGTGACCTTGATCGATGTGTTCTTAAGGCTCTTCATAATATCTTGTATGAACTCTTTATTTTTGTTGAATTCTGTTTCTTTCATACTTTCTGATCCATCAAAAAGAAAGACAAGGTCCACTGTCTTTTTTGTGCATTCTGTAAAAATGTATAAAATACATGGAGTGAACATTAGTAAGGAACATTCTGTAAGGACATAAACACTGAGAATAAAATTCTGCTGCAAGAAGAACAGTCTGTTATAACTGTGACAGTGACAAAGCAGGGGTTTACACTCTCTAAATGTCCTTTACCTTGGAAAGCAGGTTTGACAGAGGAGACTTGCTGAAGATTATCTGTTATCTTGTAGCACACACTGTTCAGATAGGAGTTCTCATTACATTCATGAGGTACGTTTGGACTGCAAACCTAGATCAGAATATAAGAAGCAAAAGAAACTTTGAAGAAATGCCACAGAGAAATTATACTTTTAATTTAACTTTTTGAGCTTTGTGATTTTCTTACAATGAACTGGGTGCCTGTGGAGTTTGCAGCTATCGCCAGGCCAAGGTGCTTGACTGATATATTTTTGTTTGAGAGAGAATCATCTGCAACAGTACCATTTCATTAGAACTATAAAAATAGACAAAGCTATTACATCCTGAAAAATCTCATTCTTTAATATTTACACTTTCTGTATTGTGTAATACTGGCTTTAAAATGTGTATTTATGTACCTTTGAGGTTGCCACACTGCAGCGCTTGGCTTTGGTTAAGTTTGCATACTTCCCCAGATCCATTTAGTTTCAGAGGTGCGGTGACAATTATTCTATGGATGAGGTTAACGGGCATGATTACAGTAATCTTAACTGTGCAAGTGGTCAGGCTGACATGAACAGCACAGTTTTCACTAAAAGAAAATGTACTTTCGGTTTTGAGCAGGGCATTTGTTATACATACATAGATTAATGCAACATAATTCAGATCGTTAAACCACAAGTTGACATGAGCGTCTGATCAAGTCAAACAGTTAGCTTTCATCTGCTGCAATCACAGCGAGCAGTAGATATCACCCAAACCACCAGGCTGCAAATGTAAACTTACCCTTTGTTTGTGCCAGAAATGAATTGAAGCACTTTGTATCCAAAGAAATCGTTTTGGCTACCATTATAGATACTGGGATTTGTTACATCAATGGTGAAAGACAATGTAACAGGGATGGCTGCAAGTTGAAGACAATGACCACATAATTAGAATTTCAGAAGATAACAGTCTGTGGCAGATGTTTGTTCAACACTTCATGTTTGTTCAGCTTCATCTTTATATTGTGACGATGTGTATTTGTGTGTATTGCTTAAATCCTGCACAAAGACAAGTATCATTGTTCGCATACTTGGCTGCATATCGACCTCAGAATATATACCTTGAGAACTTTTGATTTTACACAGCCTGAACATTGCTAAACACTGTGAGACATAAGGCAGTTACTGTAGTGTTAGTATGACCCCAGTAGCATTGCATTCATTTGACGCTGTCAGACTTACAATGGCTAATTTAAAAATGTATTGTATTACATTTGATTGATTCTGTACTGTTAGCTATCTGAGATTTTATTGTGACTGTTTTATTTTTATACAGTATGTATTTGGGGACTACAAATGAAAATTAGCCTTTTGGCTAACCCATAAGTGAGCTCTTTCAGGGAGGGGATGTGGGTGTGTGTGTGTGGTTGTCCTGCGATAGACTTGATGACTGAATTAGAAAAACTTCCTTCTTTTACTTCTGGGTGTCATTGTAAAGTAGAGATGTAATAGGCAAAATACCCGTTGCACATGTGACATACATGTGATTGAGAAGTTAACAGAAAATAGTATAATTTCACCATCCCTTTAATGCAAGTGGCAGTTCAGGCAATGATGGCACAGGAGGCTGGGACAGATGGACAGGAGCAGGTTCTACTGGAAAAACTATTTTCTACTGCTCACAGGAGCTTCATTTAAAAAAATTAAAATGGAAGAAATGAAGGGGAACTTTTGGGACTGTGAACTTAGTTCAGAATTCAAAATGATGAACTCTGAACTTTGTGTGAACTGACCTTTGAGCTAGCTGTTGTGAAATTTGCACAACACTGAACATGAGAATGCACAAGTTATATGCATGTGCACCAAATTCCTCAAAACCACAAATGAATACAAAAACATCTTCCCCACTTTGACAGCACGTCTTATTAGGGGGAAAAATGCTGAAAATAACCAACATGAGAAAGCTGAAAACCCTAAACGTAATAACAAAATTCACTACAAACACAAAAACACAAGTTTGTCTTTTGTCTATCTGCTTGTATTTGTGCTAATAATTTTTATATGAAATGAGAGTGTAATGAGAAAGGTGTAAGTCATAGTGACAAACGGTTGAAGAAAGATCAAAATCAAAGCATGATTTTGTCAGTGTTGTTTCAGGGACGAGTAGGCTGCTGTTTCCAGAAACAAAAAATAGAAACCCATTGTATGCCAGCGTACATGCCCAGCAATAAATACCTGACAAAGATAGCAAACTTTCAGTTTTAACTGGCAGTATTTCTTCTGTAATACATAATTTCAAAAAAAGTGTTGGGTTAATGGTTGAACAAAAAGCTGCAAAGTGGCAAGAAAATGCATTAATGATTTAAATTGTGCTCAGCATGAGTTTGTGGTCAGACAGTATGCACTGGCTCACAGACTTCCTGGGCGTCTGCACTTAGCACAGTTTAGAATATAATAAAACTCGTAAAATAGTGACTATTCAATTAAAACCTCTCTTTATGAAGCTTTATACTTTATAACAGGCATTTATGTTACAAAACCAAATTCAATATATTTGTGTGTGTGTGTGTGTGTATATATATATATATATATACACACACATATACATAACAATGTTATTTTCTTTCTTCAGGTGAATATTAACTCATAGAGGATTCAACATGGAGTAAAATTTTAGATCTTACCAACAGCCATCATGAGCAGGAAGATGCAACCGTGTCCCCGCATCTTTCATGTTACGCTTCTAAGAGTGCTGCAGCTTGGCTTGAGACATCGGGTACGTCTGTGCAATACTTCCTGTGTGCTTTTTGAATAAGGGTGTTTCCGTGACAGGTGGTTGTGACACTTCTGCTCTCACAGGAATATTCCCAGTAAAAAGTCTCTCTACCCTCAGGCTTCCCTTTTTTTTTGATAATTCAAAAAGTTTCACCCTGCTCCCAGAATTGAATTAGCACAGGACCCTCAGTAGGAGACTTTTTTTAACATTAAAAGCCAGCAGCAGACATTTTTTGTGGTTTCACAGTCTACTGAGTCAACAAAAGGAGATTACACTGAACAAATGAAGAAGCTAATAAACACTGACTTTATGCAGGTCTCCAAGTAGAAAACTGTGTGAGTGAGGACTGGACCCTCACTGGACCAGGAAAAGTTTACAAGAATCATACAGACAGACGGACAACCTGATAAACATAATGCCTCTGGCTGTGGCTATCGCTGTCATGGAGGCATAAAAATATATGAAGTGAAAAGAAAAGGTTTGGGTGAAATGATCAATTTATGTACTAGGGCATATATAGTTGCAAGAAAAAATAATGGCACTGTTTGCAGTTTCCTGGTTTTCTGCATTAATTAGTCATGAAATGCAATTTGAGCTTCACCAAACTCACAGATATCAGCAATCATAATATTTCTAAGCTGATAAAACACAAACAGTCATGATCTTTCATGCCTTTATTGAACACACCCCTTAAATATACAAGGTAATAATGGAAAAGGTAATGGCAACTCCGGGCTTCACAAAGCATCAACTGGAGTCAGGTGTTAGCAAACCTGGAGTCCAGTCAATGAAACGAGAATGGAGGGGTGGTTTAGAAACACTTAGAAACAGTGTCAGTGTGCTAGTCACATGCAGCATCAGCTGATGTGAGCCATGCCTTGCAAAAAAGCAGAGTGCTCAATGAGGTAAAAATAAACCCTGGAATAACAGTTAAAGACTTGAAGGCTTCATTGGTTATCGTCTATGTTCATGAGTCAACCAAATGCAAAATATCAAATAGGCATGATATCCATGGCAGGACACCACAGAGGAAACCATTGCTCCTCACAAACAACATTGCAGCAGGCCTGAAGTTTGCCAAAGACCACCTTGAATCTCTACAGCACTACTGGGAAAATGTCCTGGGGACAGATGAAACTAAGGTAGAATTGTTTGGGAAGAACACACAGCACTACATATGGCATAACAAGAGAACTGTGTACCAACATGAAGACATCATCCCAATAGTGAAGTACAGTGGAGGGAGAAAAACAAATCTGGTACAGTTTCAATTCTCCTTTGACACTTGTCGAATGACTGATGACACAGTGAGCAAAGAGGATATGAAATATTTCTTAATCTTTAGCAATAAAAGATCACTGTAACTGCAGTTGTTCTGGGACATAAACACACTCACAATATTTTGTCATTCATAGGACTGTGTGTGGAGGTTGGAGAAGCACCAGCCTTCTGAACTTTAAGAGAAAAGTCCACAACTGGACAGCCCTGTGTTATGCAGCCCAGAGAAATGATGTCCACATGTGGGGAGAAATACATAGCTAAGTTCTCCAGAATGACTCCTCCACTGGCTTCTATTAGTAGAGCTGGGAACTCCTCCTTCAATGCATGAGCTGCAGTGTGGAGCTCCTGTAGGACAGAGACATGGTGGAGGAGGGGTGTATTATTTCATGTACAGATGCTGTAAGTGAAAGAGTGGCTGGAAACCAGACACATGAAAATGAGAAATGTTCTAATAGCGTCCTGTACCTGAGGCTGAAAGTTGTCCAGCATAACTATGTCTGCTCCGGCTCTGGCTGCCTCTCTGCCCTCCTCTGTGGAGCAGCACTCCACCTCAATCTTACTGCTGAAGCCGCTCACTGACCGGACAGCTTTCACAGCCTACAGACAAATGGGACTTTTTAAGATGTTGTGAGCACACCTGAACTTATGACAGATGGTATCATTTTGATAAAATGGTTTGATCAAAATAATTTTCTATATAAAGAATAAATACTAGCAATATGTTTTTTTCATCCAGTCATCCAGCGTTGTGGCATTTCATAGCCCATCTCTCATGGGATTATAATACAGTTTTACCTCAAATATCAGCAGCAGCACAATACTTCAAATAAAAAGAAAAGAAAAGAAATAATTAACAAAATAAATTATCATAACCATTCAAAATCACAGTCAATGTCATCATAATCCCATCCTCATCACTCTACTCACTGAGCCCGCAAGTGGTCCTTAAGTAAGAAGCAAAGGTAAATGTCTCTTTTCCAAACAACCATTTTAGTCACTGTGAATCATTCATGTCAATCATCTCAATCATGTCCTTTATATCACTAAACAAAAGGCAATAAGGTTCCTGATACAAAAGACAGTAAACAATAAAATGATACTCATTTTCAGTTTCCTCTAAATCACTCACTGGACAGATTTGGCTTTGTCCTTGTTATGACTCTGTTTCCTCTGCTTCCAGTATCATGCTTTTATTCTGACACCACTTCCTGTTACAGTTTCACCTCAGCTACAGACTCTTTACCCTAATCAGTGACAATTGTTTGCACCTGTTGACACCCCTTTATAGGCAGCTTCCTCCCAGATTGCCAGATTGTTCTAACTCATGTTCAAACTTTCCAGCATTTTTTCTTGTGCCTGTTATTCCAGCTCTGACCCCAGATTGCCTTGTGACCACTGAGTACTGCCTAACCCTTCTGAATCCGTCTGTATTCTGTGCATTGACTTATGGACTTCCCTTATTGACCGTTCTTCTTGTGGATACCTTGGATGTGTGAGTTTGCTGGCTCTGACCCTGGACTGGATTATCAACCTGAGTGTTACATGTTGAATCAGACTCCTGCATGGTGTATCGTTTGTTTCTGACCAGTGCTCTGATTAAAGAGATAGTGTTCTGCTTTTACTCATCTGCCCTTCTAATTGAGTTCACCCTTGATATTATCGGTAGCTTTACACACTGTCTCTGACAGTCCTTCCAAACCAGCAACCTGTTCAGTATGAATGGGCAACATATCAGCTCTCATCTGGGCACAAAGAGATCTTTTTTTAATTCAACAGATTAAGTATACAATCATCAATCAAATAATTATATTAATAATATCATGATACAAAGCTTTGGCTTACTCTAAACCTATGGAATATCATCTCTGTCAAAGAAAAAAATAAATACCTCTTTTCTGCAAACTCTTCTTCAAACCCAAATTTAGAACCCATGTTACACATATAGTATTGTACTGTGTATATGTGTATATATATATATAAAAAAAAAATTCCCCACTCGCCCCCCACTTTGGGGCACTCTTGTATTCCTTCCTTCAAGCTTGGGTCCTCTACCAGAGGCCTGGGAGCTTGAGAATCCTCTGCAGTATCTTAGCTGTTCCTATGACTGCACTCTTCTGGACAGAGATCTCAGATGTTGTTCCTGGGATCTGCTGGAGCCACTCTCCCAGTTTGGGGGTCACAGCCCCCAATGTTCCTGTTACCACGGGGACCACTTGTGCCTTCACCTTCCACATCTTTTCTAGCTCTTCTTTCAGCCCTTGGTATTTCTC